AAAAAAAAAAAATAAAGTGCTTTTCTATACTTTGAAATGATTGTACCTTTGTTTGCATAAAAAACACTTATTTAGAAAGACAAACCAAAAAAAAGTGCTTATTTACATGTGTGTCCAATTTCATCTTATGTATAAGATTTTTAAAAGACTTTTACTTAATCAGTATTTAATAATTTTTTACTACTTCCTCACATCATTCGTAGGCGAAACTTTAAAAAAAAACCTTCAGATGTTATTGTTATGTACTGTTGAATTGGAACCCACTCGTTGCTGATCATATAGTGGGTTTTCAGAGGCAGTAGATTGAAAGATGATGGGCCATCTGTATCACACAGAGTAGGTAAGGTATTCAAACTCTGTACCTTTGTGGTGGCAGCACAGCTCCGCGCTAAGATGCCAACAAGGCAGTGAAGACTGTGGAGCTAAGAATGAGAATCCCAGGACACTTTAGGCTCATATGAAACTACCTAGACCAAGAAGCCATTGTCCAAAGAGAGTACGAGAAAACTGCATGTTTTAAAATCAAGAAAAGTGTATCCTTTCTCCATACCTTATTCTGTTTGTATGCTGAACAAATAATTAGTGGAATGGAACTCTGTGAAGAAGAATGTGACGGTAGGATCAGAGGAAGACTCATCATTAGCCTGCATTATGCAGATGATACAAGTTTGCTTGCTGGAAGTGAAGGGGACTTGAAATGTTGCTGTAAAAAAATTCAAAGACTAGAGCCTTGGATATGTGTTATGTCTCAACATCAACAAGACAAAAATCCTCCCATTCAGCTGGACCATTAACCAAACATTTGAATTTACCTAATCCAAGCCTCCAATTTAAATAATTCCTGTGTGTGAAAGATCAAAGATAATGTTATATAGAAGTATTCCGTAAACCTTTAAGTTCTCAACATATTTTAAGATTTTTTTTTTTTTTTAAGAGGAAAGAAATAAATGTGCTTTATGTGTTTTTGCATGTGACTAAGGACAGTTGTCTGTCTGACTCTTTCAGGCCACTAGACCAGATATGATCAGGATTTTGTCAGCAGCTCTTCATGTAGTCCTAAGGAGGGACATGTCCCTAAACCGAAGACTTTACGCTTGGCTCCTTGGTAGGTGTGTGCTGTGTGCAGGCAGAGCTGGGAGTAATAGGGAGGAAAATTTGCCAGATGTAATTATTATTAAGTTTTTTATGTCAAGGGTGAAAAAAAAAAAACCCATAGTGTGCTCAAAGGGATGATAAATACACAATGCTATATGGGTATTTTGTAAGGAAACTTTAGAAGCTTCCTAGTTAAACAGGCTGTTTTTAGTCTATAAGATTATATTCCCTTTCACAAGAGTTATTTTCCTCTTATAAATTTAAGTTGTTATAAGTAGGAAAGTAGGGAAAGATAAGTTGATAATAAATGGCATAATTTCTAATCCTTTAAAGTAATCAAAGGAATCAGCCCCAGAAACAAAGCTGGTGCTCCCTCTCACGTGGTACTCAGACAATAATGCTTCATGGGTTTTTCTGGACTTTCGTACTTTGTGGCGAGTGGTTGACCTGCTGTCTTTACAACTCGTCACTTGGATTAAGAGAGGACAAATATAATTTCATATTTAATCTTCTGAGTCTTCATTTATTATACTGTTTTGAAATATTGAGAAAACCAGGATGATTCTGGAAGAATATTATGATACTTATGTCTTGAATTGGTTTCCCTTTATTAAACTATCAAAAATGATCTCTTTTGCTGACATTGGGCTACACATTGGTAAGTGTTTGGTGTTTTTGAGATACTTGCTGTTATTTAATGAAAGTCAGTTTTGAAAACTACATTTTAATTTATTTTGTGATTTCTTTTCCTGGAGGTTTTGATAACAATGGTGCTATCATAGGACCCAGAAGCACAAGACACAGTAATCCTGAAGAACATGCCACTTATTATTTCACTACCTTTTCAAAAGAATTGTTGGTCCAGGTAATGAATGATTTCATTTTCTCTTCCGTTGCTCACTGACCACTAGAATTACTGCAAAGAAGTGTAAGACCCAGCTCTGCCTTAAATGAATTCATAATTTGAAGGAATAGAGACAGACCCACAGATTTCCTAAAATTAAGTAAACTATAACTAACATAAAAGAATTCAGAAGCCAAGTTCACTTGGCTTCAAGACCAACGTAACTAGTTTATTTTGGATTTTGATATTTTTTGTTATATTTACTTTGTTTTTTCATAACTTTATAATATTTTTGTGTTTCATAATATATAAGCAAATGTAGTTACAACTTCTCGCTTATCTTTCCTGTGAAAGTTGGGACTTTTCAAAACCAGACCAGTGTTATTTCCTGTGAGTGCCCAGAGAAATTTGGGCTGCAGGAGGACTCAAAATATGGTTGTTATTGTGTACCATTGAGTGAGAACCAGCTCATAGTTTACCCTCTAGGATTTCTACAAAGTTTTGCAGTCAGAAAATGACCAAACATGCAATCAAGATGCATTAGTAATTCCTGGTGACTGGAATGTAAAAGTTGGTAAAAATGAGGAAGGAATGGTAGTTGGAAAATATGATCTTGGTTACAGAAATGAGGCCAGACATCAAATGATTGAGTATTATACGTTCGGTGATTTAGTCATCACAGATGCCTTTAAAAAAAAAACCACAAAACAAACGTGAAAGGCATCTTTACACCTGAACCTTATCTGATGGACGGCATGGGAATCTGATTTTCTTTATCTGTGGAAAGAACTATTGGAGAGGCCCAGTATCAGCACTCAAAAACAGGCCATTTGCTCACTGTGGAACAGGCCATTAGTTACTCACATGCAAATCAAATTGAAGTTGAAGAAAGTAAAAACAAGCCCACAAGAACTAAAGTAAGACCTTGAGTCTATCAGTTTAAAAATCATCCGTAGAATAAATAGACTTGAGGCATTGAACACTGATGATCAAAGACCAGATGAGTTATGAACTGACATTAAAAAGATACATGAGTCTGTTTACTGTTTACTAAATGACTAGTATACTGTTGCTTTTTTGTTTGTTTTTTTAAGGCAATGGTGGGGATCTTACAAGTTAATGGATTTGGAGAAGAGAGCACGCTAATGCAGGACCTAAAACCATTTCGAATTTTAATCAGTTTATTGGACAAACCTGAACTAGGTAACTAGGTTGTATTGTGTTATTTCATAATAAAAATGAGAAGACAAATTATTGCCTAAAAAATTACTTCATTTTGGGGTGACCTTTAAATTCAGAATTGTCAGCCTTTTCTTACTGAAATTTACTCTTGAAATCAAAGATGCTACAGCTTCCCAGCCAGCCAGCATGTTACTATCCTGGATGACATATGTAGCCAACAAATCACCCTCTAAGCTTTTCTTAATCCTGTAAATTACTACACTTTAAAAATTTATAATCTGCCATACCTATCTTATATTTCTTAGTTCTTATACAAAAATTCAAAGATTTAAACAGAAAAGAAAAAATATGAGTCATATAACTTAACTTGGTTACATCATATTTGTTTGTGTTTTCATTATATGTTATTTACATACTGGGTCTTTTAAAAAATTAATGATTGTACCTAAGACAAAAACTGAGAAAAAAGAAATTTTGGCCACCATAAAGTGATATCATTAAGTGTGAAATTTTATCAAATTATTTTCAGATGTTTTAGAAATTACTTAAGTCAGTCTTCTCAAAGCTCTCTTAAAAGTTAAAATTTTAAAATACGTAAGCACCCTACTGAGTTATACCCATGGTTTGGAGCATTTGGCCTTATGCGTTTTAGAGTTTAAATTACCTCATAACCAAACCTAGGCAGTCATATCCTGCAGGACAGGACAGAACTGTCCCACTGGATGTCTGAGGATGCATATCTCTTTGGGAGGAGTCTGCCTCATCTTTTTCCCTCAAAGTGATTGGCAGACTTGAAATATGTTTTCATTAGCATTTCAACATAGAATGCACTAGTCCCACGGGGCTCCTGAAATTGACATTTGTTATTTGTGATTGAGTCAGAATTGACTCAGAGCTGAACCTCCAGCAGGTTTCAGGGGCTGTATATCACACAGGAAATTGCCCATCTTTCTCCCATGGAGCAACTGGTGGATTCAGACCATTTGCCTTTGAGTTGGCAATACATCTCCTTGCCACGAGGACATCAGAGCTTTGTGAAATTTACAGCAGTAGTAATATAATTAACTTTTATTGAATACTCATTATAGTCCAGGAACTGTGCTATGTCACAAATACATATTTTTTAGATCAATAACAATTTTATTTTTTATTTTTTAAAATTGTTGAATTTTCATTCATTCATTGTTGCACATTATCCTCCTAACCCTCACCCCTATTTTACGTTTTTTAAAAAAAATATTCATTCATTGTTGCGTAGTTTCCTTCCTCCCCCCATATTCCATTTTGCTGTGCACCTCTTATTCTGCACTGTTGCCATACAAATAATGCTTAATCATATATTCCTTTTCAGCAGTTATTTCCTTCATCTATTCCAATGTAGTGTTCATTATATATACCTTCTTAGTTTTTTTTCTCAAACCCATGTCAGTCCTGTTTGATAACAGCAGCATTATGCAGTATTTGTCCTTTTGTGACTGAGATATTCCACTCAGCATAATGTCCTCCAGGGTCACCCATGTTGCATAATATTTTATAAGTTATTTATTTTAAAATGCTGTGTAGTGTACCATTGTGTGAATCTACCCTAGGTTTTACATCCATTTATTTGTTGCTGGGCATTTGGGTTGCATCTGTCTCTTTGCTATTGTGAATAATATGGTGGTATATATGTGCATATATCTGTTTAGGTAGCAGCTCTGGCTTCTTTAGGGTATATTCCCAGTAGTGGAATTGGTGGGTCCAATGGTATTTCTATTTCCAGCCTTTTGAGAATGCACCAAACCACCTTCCATGGTGGTTGCACCATTTTGTACTCCCACCAGCAATGAATAAGGGTTCCAATCTCTCCACAACCTCACCAGCATTTGTTGTTTGCTACTCTGTTGAACTTTGCTATTGTTAACTGGGGTGAGATGATATCTCATATTTGTTTTTAACAAACATTTCTTAACCTTTTTTTCTGTAAGTTTGGTAGTATTTAAACTAAAGCTCAAAGTTAAATATTACTTCTATGATGACAGGTTATGATTTTAAATAACTATTTGCTTAGTTCTTCAGTGTTTTATCTCAGCATGGAAAGTTTAATTATATTTGAAACAAAATAAAGGAGCCACGAAACTGTGAAACCTCTTTTAGTTGGACTAATTGTTAAATAATCATTATTTGCTATTCCTAATTAATTCTTGTCTTTAATTTGTATATTAATTTTAGGACCTGTAATTTTGGAAGATGTCCTGATTGAAGTATTTAGAACATTATATTCCCAGTGCAAAGCAGAACTGGATCTCCAGATGGATCCACCCTTCAGCAAGGATCATGCTCAGTTAAGCAGGTAGATTACTAAAATTGTTTAAGTATTCCATGCATATGGTTTTGTGTTCATAAAATAGACATATTTTTTCACTTAGTATAATTTGAAATCATGAAGTTTATACCCCGAAAGAGAAATTTTATATAAAATCTCTTAATTTGATAAGATGAAATGATGTTTGTAATTGATAGCTTCTCTTTGAAACAGGCATGACAGGTTCTAAATCAGTTTAATTTGTCAGTTAATGGTGGGAGTTACACATTTCTGGGTAATCAGACCTATTTATTTACATGGTCTAATTCCCCTTGATAACTTGATATACTTCAAAGATGAAGTAATAGATCAGAGAAAGATTCAAATGAGTCAGAGTATACTTGTTATTGTTGTTATATGTCATCAAGTTGCCTGCCACTGATAGCGACCCTATCTACAACATCCCTACACCCTGCTCTATCTGGTGCCAACCATATTGTCTCTGGCACACCTACCCCCATTACCCCAGTCACTGAGTTAATCCATCTCATCGAGGTTCTTCCCCTCTTATGCTGTCCCTCCAAACATGATGTCCCTCTTCAAGGACTGATTGCTCCTTACATGTCCAGAGTAAGTCAGATGAAGCTTCAGAATCCTTGCCTCCAAGGAACAGCCTGGGTTCACTCTCTTGGATGAACCCATTTGTTCTCTTAGCAGTCTTACATTCAGTACTCTTCTCCAGCACCACAGCTCAAAGGCAACAATTCTCCTCCTGTCATCCATAGTTATTATTGTTCAACTCCCTGATGCATAGAAAGTGATTGCAAAGACCATGGCCTGGATCAGGCACACCTTAGTCTTCAGACTGACATCATTGCATTGCTCTGTACTTTGGATTTAGTGTTCTTTTAAAAAAAAAAAAAAGACGGTTTTTTTTTTTTAATCCAGATGCTTTTATTATTAAATAATAAACATTTGTGAAATTTAAACAATGTAAAATATAATGAAATTTTATAGAAATCATAATTTCTGCTATGGTGTTATTGTTTAAAAATGTTTTATAAAATAAAATTATGGTTATTCTTTCAGATGTATTTTTCTAAATTGCTGAGGCAAGTCATGTAATATTAGTATAGCCTATCCCCTGAGTCCATGATGGATACATGGTGACAAAGTCTTTTTTCTAATAGAAGCTGACCACTTTTTTTCCTTTCTCATCTATTATTACAATATGACAAAACTTATAGTTTCTTTCACCGAATGTACTCTTTTTTTATGAGCTCTTTGATGAGATATTGGAAATATCCTGGGCTTGATAAAGTATAGACACACACACACACACACCCGTGCAGAGAAACTTAATATTTTAAATTTTAATTTTATATAAAGGCAAAAACAGAGACATTGGCTGATAACAATGTTGGTGGGGTGTTCTTTTCAATATCCAAAGCCCTTTATTGCAAATCTGGGAGAGCAGAGAGAATTCTCTCAAAAACTGCCTCCCCTTCTGAAGATAATGATTGCTTTTATACTTGGATTAGGTATCATCCTACTTAACATATTACTATCTCTAGTTCAAAGTTGCATGACTCTTAACATTCTAAAGGATAGTTTACATACAGTTTCTGCGAAATAGACAGCTTAACATAAAATTTACATATGACTGAGAAAAATGCAGTTTCAAAAGACAAATGCTAGTTCAGGAAAGATGCATTTCCTTACCCAGTTAACAGCTTAGAGTAATCTGCATGACTATAGAGAAGTTAAAACAGGGTCTGAGGACAAAACAAATATTGATTAGAAGGTTAAGCCAGTTTTACAGGCTGGAAACCAGGATGTCCAGTTTTTAGAGCTATACTAAGTGTTTGAATAATCCTGAGCTTATCAATACTGCCCTATCAGATTGTCTTGTTAATAGCATTCTTAGCTTAATTAATCTGGTTACACATTTCCTTACCTTGAAGTTGTTGTGTTGTACCATCAAGTTGAATGTAACTCATCACAGCAGATGAACAACAGATCTGAACCTTGTGCTATCCTGCCCCATCCTCATGATCTCTGTCATGCTCAAACCTATTGTGGCAGTCAGTTCATTTTGTTGAGGGTCTTCCTTCCTTTCCACATTTCCCAGCATGATGTCCTTTTCTAAGGACTGTTTCCTCCTGAAATTATGCCCCAAATAAGTGAGACAAAATTTCACTATCCCACAGAGACCTGTATACCAATGTTCATAGCACTATTCTTCACCATCTCAAGAACATGGAAACAGCCCAGATGTCCAACCGCAATTGAATGGGTTGAAAAATTATGGTACATTCACACAAAGGAATACTATGCAGAACGCAGGAGCAATGATTTTGTAAATTACTACCTTACTTGGGAGGGACTGAAGAGCATTATGCTAAGTGTGCTAACTCAGTCCGGTAAGGACAAATATTTTATAAGACCATTTTTCTAGGAATAGAAAGATAACTAGTAAAGTGTGTATGAGGACCCAAGGAGGGGAGGGAAGGAACAGAGTGGTGAAAATGGGTGGTGTGGGGGCTAGTTTAATCCTAGGGTCACACAATCTGTTAGATGGAGGGAGGGATGGGTGATAATAAAGTTTTAAAGAAAAAGAAAATAATTCTCTCTTCATTATGCCAGCATTAAAGTTCAGTTAAGAAATTTTAAAATCCGTTTTTTGGGGGGTTTTAGATAAGATTACACAGCTGCCTGTGGACTTTCCAAAACCTGATACAAAGATTAAAACAATACAACAGATGAATCCTGTTTTGTATTTTGCATTACTACCACCAAAATTCTGATCCAAACCTGACCATAAATCCAGGTGGAACATCTGTAAACCTCTGTTTATTATATAGACTATCATTGTTAGATCTCATCAAGTCTGTTTTTGACTGTAACATTTTAAATCTTTTTTAAAATTCTATTTGAGTGAAGATTTATAGATCATACTATCTGTTCAGTTAGACATTCTGTAAAGCAGACATTTTGTGTAATAAACCATTTTTTTTATTTCATTATTTTTTGTGTATACCATCAAATCAGATCTGACTGGTGCAAGAGGAGATTGTTCCTCCTTCTCCAGCAGAGCATCTGGTGGATTTGAACTGTGCACCTCTGAGCTTGCAGTTGCAGCTTCTTACCACTAGGCCACCAGAACTCGCCGTAATAAACCATTTTTAAAGCAGTTTTTAATTTCTGGTGAACATGTTCCTATGTTAAAAGTTAATATTGACTGTCCTTTGTAAGGTAAAAAGGTGCACAGAACCAGGTGAAGCGAAACATAGGAGTTTATTAGCAGCTCTCTGGCAGGTTTACTGTCTGAGGCCAGAGAAAGGCAGGGTCAGGGAGCAAAGTCACAAATGAGGAAATTACAGGCCAAGTTTTATAGTTAGGGATTGTGGGGTAGGGTTGTCAGCTCAGTGGTCAACTTTCCTTGGAGAACATTGATTGGGTGCCCTTTGTTAGTTCCCAAATATGGAGTCACTCAGTCCCTTTAGGTGAATTATGTTGGCTTTTTTTCTGATTGGTCATAGTCGTCTTACACCAGGCAGATCAGAATGTCTCCCAGAAGGTGTGGTCAGCGTGGAATGTTTCCCAGCTCCCTGGTGGCCTTTCATCCTTGTACTCTAGTTTATTCTGTACTCTGCTTGAAGAATTATGTTGCCCCACAGAGGACTTAGTATCTTCTGCTGTAATATGCAAGTTGTATTGACAAACCTCTATCTATTTATAGATGATGATGATAGATAGATAGATACATAGATAGATAGATATAAAAGCATTATCTTAATAGGTAGAAAGGAAGAGGTAGGTAATATAAAGAGGTTCCACCTTGAATGAAGTTATTTTCTCCTGATGGACTTGCAGTAAACATGCTTATCCTTAAACTTTTTTTGATCATTTTTTTAATTTAATTTTAATGAAAATTTAGAGACTTTGAATTTCCATTCATTCATTGTTGCACTTTTCTCCCTGCCCTCTTCTCCCCCTAGTACACTCTTCTCTTTGAAAAGTAAAAGAAAAGTTCCCCCATTGTTTCACAATCCCACCCCCCAGGTCCACTTTGCTATGCAGCCTTTGTTCTGGACTCCTCTCATGACAATAATACCTAATCACATATTCCTTTTAAACTGTTTTCTCCCTCATCTACTTCAGTGCAGTATACATTATTGAACCCATCTTTCTCAGTCTGTCCTCAACCCCGATGTCAGTTCTGTTTTACAACAGTGGCACTATGAGTATTTGTCCCTTTGTGACTGAGATATTTCACTCAGCATAATGTCCTCCAGGGTCACCCATTTTGAATAATTTTGCATGATTTCCTTGTTTTTCAATGCAGTGTAATATTCCAGTGTGTGTGAATATACCACAGCTTCTCTATCTATTCGTTTGTTGATGGGCACTTAGGTTGTTTCCAACTCCTTGCTATCGTGAACAGAGCCACAATAAACATGGATGTGCATATATCTGCCTGGGTAGCAGTTATGGTCTCTTTGGGTTATATACCCAGTAGTGGAATTGCTTGCACCATTTTACACTTCCACCTACAGCAAATAAGGTTTCCAGTTTCTCCACAACCTTGCCAGCATTTGTTGCTTGCTGTTCTGTTAAATTTTGGTATTCTTACTGGGGTGAGATGATATCTCACAGTTGTTTTGATTGCATCTCTCTTAGAGCTAAGGATTTTGAACTTTTCTTTATGTGCTTTTTGGCCATCTGAATGTCTTCTGGGGTTAAGTGTCTGTTCATGTCTTGTGCCCATTTTTCAGTTGGATTGTTTACCTTTATCTTGTTATGGTGTAAACTTTTTTTTTTAAGTTTGAGGATTCTTTTGTTAGTATTACTGTTTTTTTAGCTAAGAATTTGAAATCACTGAATTATTGAAATTGGTTAAATTAATAATCAGTTGCTCAAATAAGTTTCCTTGGTTTTTTTCCTGGAATCCACACTTTTTTCTTAGGCTAAGCTAATTTTTTATATTGATCATGCACTTGAGTTATGAAATTCAGATTTGAAAAAAATGACTGTACACAAAATGAAATGGGAAAACCACTGTGGATAAGTATTATTTATTGTAATATTTTAAAAGTAATTTTACCAAATTTATTAAATATTCTTTTCTAGAAACTACCTAACAAAATAGACAGCCGTATAACATTGCACTCAAATTTAATTTTGGAAAAGTTAATGTTTCCTAGTTTATTATTTTATTTTCTTTTTTTTTTTAGTAAATTAAGGGAAAATAAGAAGACAGCAGAGCTGATTAAAACTGCCAACCTCCTCTTTAACTCCTTTGAGCCTTATTATATGTGGGATTACGTTGCACGTTGGTTTGAAGAATGTTGTAGGTATGTTAAACAATTTTATTCATTTTTCTTTTATAACATCCAAAACTAACTTTTTTTTCTTTAGTTTTATGTTCTTTATTCTAATTAAGAGAATATTTTTTATACATTCTATTGTTACTGTGGACCGGTATTAATTACTTACTAGCCATTGTCTCTGTTTTATCTCCCAAGGATACAGAATCACTGTAATTTTTTAAATTGGAGAAGTGTTTAGAAATGAGTTTATTGAGTCACCAGCAAAGAGAAAGAAGTTTTCACTTTCTAGTTTCTAGTGACTTAGTTTAATATTTTTTTGGAGAATATATCAAAGTTGTGTCTGTTGCCTCACCACACTTTCCCAAAAAGATTCCCGTTTAGAATAAGGAAAAATAACTTGGCTACTCTTACACTATTAAAGTAATCGGAAAATCGAATATTGTCACTGATGAGTTGATCAAAGCTCTAAGCACTATAAGACCTAAAGCCTAAAATGGAATCTGAAAGCCTTACGATATAGTGAATTTAGGATACCAGTGAGTAGAAGCTCGTTTTGGATTCTTGATCAAATTTTCTCAAAACCAGAATACCCTTTCAGGCCAGCATGCATTTAGGCAGGTGTAAGCTATTAATCTACTACAGTGATCATGTATTAACTCTTGAATATTTTTGTTGTTGTTTGATAACTCTTGAATATTTTAAAATATAAATTGTTTTGATAGGCATTAGTCTTTTTATTGATATGAGAAATTATTTGTGTACTCATTAAGCAGCTATTAGGCATGCAGTTGCAAAGCACCATGCTAAGCATATGCACAGCCCCAAAGAGAGAATACGTGAAGCCTGTGAATATGTGTGTGTGTGTGTGTGTGTGTGTGTGTGTGTGTGTGTGTGTATTTTTTTTCCTAGTTCCAGTGTAAAATTATAGATATTTTGCTAAGGATTAAAATATGGTAGGAAAGCAGAGGAGTTGTGAATTTCCTTTTATTCTGGCTTCTGTTTCTACCTTCATTTCTGTATTCACAAACACACATTCTTCTTTAGATAACCTGGGCTGTTCCCTGCACACATTAACTTTCATGCTATTCTTTCTCAAAAATCCTTGTCTTTGCCCATGTGGTTTGTTTCTATATACAGATTGCCTGATTTGTAGTAGCCTCTGTAACTACCGCAAAAATCCCATCAGATATCCTAGCCATGCCTCCTTGAACAGAAGAATATTAAACAATATCACACACACAAAGTCTGACCAGAATAATCTATTGTTATATTTATTTCTTTATTTGATAATACTTCTTGCTGGTAAGGAACTGTCATTGTCATTCAACTCTATGTCTTCAGAGGTATAGAGCAATGTATGGTCATTTAGGAATAATATGTTTGAGGAATCACCTCTACCACCAGGATCAGAAGATGCTTCCTGGATGAGGTAACATTCGATCCTAGACAGTAAAGGGCAAATGCATTCTGGATATGACAGAATGAAGTCAGAGGAAGTTCAGGAGGAGACAAACTTTGGTGTGAGAAAAGGTCCTGAGATTGGAAATAAAGGAACAAATATTTCATTTTTGCTAAGATATGATATATGTAATAAGAGAAATGGTAAATTAGTCCTAAAGAGTGAAATGCACACAGAACATGAGTAAATATGCCTATTAAGTTCTTGGAAAAGCAAGATGTCTCTTTCAACGAAAGGCTAAGCCTAGAGTCTTGGAAATTTTGCAGATTGAAGTATCATTCTGGAGGGGAGTGTTCATCCCAGAAATATCACTGTGTGTGCTGCAGATTCAGATTCAAATTCATTTTGACAGTAAGACAGTGTTGTTGTCACATGTATGCCTATCACTTGGTAGTCTTGTTGATAAAAGGGAATTTTGTACTTCTAGGAGGACATTGCATGCCAGACTTCAGATGGGGCCTGGAGATGGTAGTGAGTCATCTGAATTACAGCTGATCAATTTCTGCTTGCTGGTGGATTTTTTGTTGGATATTGTTTCCTTGGTAAGGCCACCTTGGTAAAATATTGAGTGGATCTAAAAAAACATAATTCAGATATTTCATATTGGAGACAAATACTTTCTTCATATAAAATTGACCTTTAAGAATATGTTTGGGCAAGCTCTGGTGGCCTAGTGGCAAGAAGCTGCACTGCAGTTGCAGAGGTGCACTGCTCAAATCCACCAGATGCTCTGCTGGAGAAGGAGGGACAATCTCCTCCTGTACCAGTCAGATCTGATGACAGTACACACAAAAAAAATAATAAAATAAAAATATATTTTAAAAAAAAGCGAGACTACGTTTGGATTTTTCCCCCCCTTTTAGTTATATAGCGTTTCCCCATGCAATTTTGCAACTATTTTATTCTCTGACATATATGTATATAGAAATATCATATAATACATGGAATATATGTCAAATTGCATGTTCTAAAATCTTAAATGTTTCATGTATAATCTAATGCTCATTTATATTTATTAATGATTCTGTTGATTTAATGAAGACTGTTGGAAATCTTTTTCCTTTGTGTTTTCTCTCCTCAATTTCTTGCTTTCTCATTTTGAAGCCTACTAGAAGCATGAGAGTGCTGTGTCAGGTATGACATCCAGCCTGCTTTGTCTACACTTGTGCAATATTCAAGCTTTAGCAATGTCACAGATAAAGCTGGGGTGTTTGATAATATATGTTTAGAAATACTTAAATTGGGTATGACTATTTTGTAAGTCATTAATAAGAAAAATGATTCTACAATGTTAATTAAATTAAGAATATTACACATAAAAGTTTGCATATGAGTAAGATTTTTTTTCCTTACTTACATAAGTTAAAAAAAAAAAGAAAGGGGTAATATTAAAAGTTTATTACACTTTGTTTAAGCTTTTCTCATTTCATTTTTTAGGAGACTTACATTGAAATCCAGACAGAACATTTGCCTCAGTTATTGCTTAGGATGCTTTCAGCCCTGACAAGCCATCTCCAGACATTGCACTTGTCTGAACTCACAGATTCTCTCAGGCTCTGTTCAAAGATCCTTAGCAAGGTGCAGCCTCCACTTCTGTCTGCTGGAGGTGGGAGTGTGTTGCAGTTCCCAAATGTGCAAAACAGCTCAATCAAAGAATGGGAAGACAAAAAGGTAATGTTCACTCTTTTGTATTAGATCACTTATAACTCTTTAAAGAAAACCAGATTCTGAGTAAAGTCACTTACACAAAAGTATCTGAATATTAATGACAATCTTTCTTAGGTCTGAGTATTATGACAGAACACTTAATAGACTTTGGCTGCAATATAGTCTGTGTGTATCAGAACTTTCTAGTACAGAAACTTAATATAAGCATCATATATTTTATTTTTTTACGTGGTTATGAAGCACAGATAGACATTCTTCTGGTATTCTCTGCTTACTGCCACGATCCATCTAACATTAGTCATAATATCCCTAGTACCAAGACTTCTTCTAAATCCAGCCTGCACATCTGGCAGTTCTCTGTTGACATATTGCTCCAAACATTTTTGGATAATTTTCAGCAGAATCTTGCTTCCATGTGATATTAATAATATTGTTCGATAATTTCCACACTCTCTTGGGTCACCTTTCTTTGGGATGGGAACAAGTATCGATCTTTTCCAGTCAGTTGGCCTGCTGGCTATGCTCCAGATTTCTTGGCACAACTTAGCACATCCAGGGCAGCCTCTGTTAGCTGAAATATGTCAATTGGTATACCATCTATTCCTGGGGCCTCATTTTTTGCTATTTCCTTCAAAGCATCTTGAACTTCTTCCTTCATCACCATAAGCTCTTGCTCATATATTATTTCATGAAATTCTTCTGTGTCAGCCAATTCCTTCTGATACAGTGATTTTGTGTACTCCTTCGATCTTCTTTTGATACTTCCTGGATCATTTAACATTCTACCCAAAGTATCCTTAAAAATTGCCACCCGTGGCATGAATTTGTTTTTCAACTCCTTCAGCTTAAGAAACACTGAGCAAGTTTGGCCCTTTGATTTTCTGACTCCAGCTCTCTGCACATTTCATTACAGAATCTTGCTTTGTCATCCCTAGCTGCCTTTTGAAATTTTTTTCTTCAGCTCTTTGATTTCTTGATTTCTTCCTTTAGCTTTGGCTTCTCAGTGCACTGTACAATACTCAGAGTCTCCTCTGACATCCATCTTGGTCTTTTCTTCTTCTTCAGCCTTT